TGTGCCGAGGCTGGACGAGCACCTGGAGGTGTGTAGCTGGGCTCCAAGCATTGGGTGGCAGGTGGGGAGAAGTTTGGACGACTGAAGTCTCTTCCATGCTTGAGACTCTTTGATTGTATGCCCGGTCCTCTTTGGTTACCACACCAGTTCAAAATACATTTTCATTATCTGTGTTAGAATAAAGACGGTGAATCACAGTTAGAGATGTGATTCAACTTTTTCCAAAAGTCACATTCCACCCCAGAGGATAAAAATGTTCTGAACTCTTCAGTAATTCAAAAGAATGTGACAAGATTATTGGGTTAAGTCTGAAAGACGGGTTCTAAAAATGTTTTGGACGAACTTTTTTGCTCTTCATATTTTCTTTCATAAAGAGAAAATCACTAGCTAAATAAATAGGTATAGATTTCTATGATAACCTTGTCATTCCCGGAAAAACCTACGGTAAGGTAACTTGTTGTAGCCTTTAGTTTAATTTGGCAATAGATGTGTCATAGCGTTGACCTGCTTGTCTTAATTTAAACTTTTGATTTTTCTTAGAAAAGGATTTTTCCTAAGGAAGCTACTAACATCATGGATTTCTGGCTAATCTTCATCAGTAAGCTTTGCTGTATTCTGTCACTTCAGCTTGAATTCCTAATCAGGCCAAATCAGAGAGAATAGGCAAAAGGGACTTGATAGTTACTTTAACTACTCAGTAGGTAGAAAAGCAACTAAAATGACAGGTACTTTTTATGTTGTGGTCATGTTGTGTGCATCCTCAGTGGTAAAATTGGGGTGTAAAAGATTTAAGAGTTGGGGATGAAAGTGCCTGAATACACTGAAGAAGTTTTCTCCTCTTTCACTTTCTGACATAGTATGTTTTGGATGGAGTTATGATAAATTTTATTCTCTAGAAGCGTATTAATTTTGTGAAATGAAACGACTTGCAGTTGATGTTAAGTTCAGCCTCCCGTGAGCTCCCTCTGCCGTCTTTAAAAAATGGAAACCGAGAGCTAGAGTGTTGTTAGGCAATCAAAACTTAAATTTTTACTTGAATCATGCGGTTGTGCAGGTTTGTTTTACTTGGAGCAGGATCCAAGGATGTATCACATTGATCCTTTCTCCGGGCCTGGTGTTAGCCCTTGGTGAGTAATTAAATTGTCAGTTCCTTGCAAAAAATGGCATTATGGCACCATTTTAAGTCTTTAGGTGCAGGTGAGATAAGGTATTATGTTTTCCTGGGAGTTCTGCAGAGGAGAAAGATGCATTAAATAAAACATATTATTAACAGTAATCTTACCTGTGTTTTTAAATGAGGCTACTAGTACATGTAAAACACTGTAGCTGGCTCATTATCTTTCTGTTTCCCAGCGGTGGTGTAGATGTGTCGCGGCTGTTAGGTGTTCGTCTGGAGCCACTGCAGCCCTCTTTTGCTTGATGTTTGCATGATCTGTCTTCTTTCGTGCTTTTATGTTTGACCTGTCTCAGTCTTGAAATATAAGAGGTTTCTTTTAGACAGGAAATGCCTGCATGTGGTATGCTCTTCCAATATGTAGTTTCAAATTTTTTATTTCAGTGACTTTTTAAAAACTAGTTTTTTAGTATCGTGTTTCCTTGTTTGAATTTCCTTTTTCAGTGACTCTTACCTGGCTGTTGGGTCTTCATTGCCTGACTCTATTATTTGTCACTTTCTTCGATCCTTTTCATTACTTTTTTTTTTTCATTAAATTTTTTTTCTTCTTTTGCCTCTCCAGTTTTCTTAAATCGTTGTTTGCTGTGTTTATTTGTTCTGGTCATCTATTTGATTTCATATTCATTTCTGAAATATTTTTTCTTTTATTTCTAATTCTTTTCCTGAGTTCTCGTTTTAATTCTGCATGTTTCTAATTTCTGATTTAGTTGTTCTTTCATAACACCACGTCCTTAAACTCATTTTACATATTTTTTCGTATTTTGTATTTATGTCTTCTAGCTTTAGCTTAGAATTAGTAGGCTACCGTTTTGATCTGTTTCCTGGGTGTATTTGTTCTCGTGTGGCTTCACCGTCAGAGATGTTGTTCCACGTCTTATTCTCCTTTTCTGATAACTTTAATGAGACATGACCTTGATTTGTTTTCCGTTGATCATCTTTATATGACATTGGTTTTTCATTACCTTTAAAAGGAACTCATATTCAAGATAGCTTTTCTAACCTCACAGACCTCTCTCTTCTGTTGTTTTCACGTGATGTTTAAAAAGTAAAACCACTTGTTTTCTGAGATGATCGCTCTGTTCCCTTCTCCCACTTTTATCTGGACCTTCTCGTCCTTTATCTCCATTTTTTCTGTCCTGCTCCGTTTTGAATTACTCAGTGTAGGGCCCTGTCCTGGAAGGGAGATCTGGTGGTTCCTCATGGGAGCGCCTCCCCATTCCCAGCTTCTTGCACTTCCTTGCTCTTCGGGTGGGTAAAATCCCTTTCAGCTTCATCTGCTTTCTTCACGTTTGTTCACAGCAGTTTCCAGTTTGTATTTCTCCACTGTCTTAGTGGTCTGTTCTCAGACCCACCTGACACCTCATTAGCTGCAGGCAGGTCTAGTGGTCATTATGCCTCGTCCTTACTTGATGGCATCTCGGGATTTGTGGGGATCCTCCATCACCAAATTTCAGTGTGAATATTGTACATGGGTTTTGGTGTTTTTAATCTAGTACTTCTTTTTTTTTTTTGTAAGGAGCATCTCAGAGCTTCAGAAACTGTCACTGCTGTTACAGAATTCCCATGACAAATAATATTTAATGGAATAAAATTGTCATTAAAAAAGCTAATTTGAAGCACTCCATGATTTAACCACATTTGACCTGTATATGTTAGAACATTGTTTAACCTCTCAAGGTTTTGACCCTTAGATAAATTTCCATAGGGCCTTATATAACCAGACACATAATAAGCTTTCAGTTCACAATTCTTGGTATACACTTATTCAAGAGACCCCTGGTCAAACAACTTTTTTCTTATTTTGTGGGAGGACTCATTATAATTCCATCAAACTGATGAAATTTCTCAAATTGTGGCCTCATGTACACACTTTTCTTTTTTTAATTGTGTATCCATTTTACAGATTTTCTGCAATGGCCCATTCTCATTGTATTTTTAAATTTTATTTATTTATTTATTTATACAGCAGGTTCTTATTAGTCATCAGTTTTATACACATCAGTGTATACATGTCAGTCAAAATCGCCCAATTCATCACACCACCACCACCCTGCCGCTTTCCCCGCTTGGTGTCCATACGTTTGTTCTCTACATCTGTGTCTCAGTTTCTGCCCTGCGAACCATTTGACTGAGATTCAGCTTAGGCCACCTCCTTTCCAGGATCGTTAAATGTGTCCTCAAAGAAGCAGAGTAAGGTGGCAGCACAGTGCGGGGTTTATCTATTACCTGATGTGCAGAAAGAAATGTGATACTGTCTATAGCAAAATTTAATCTGTGAAGTTTAATAGGATGTTTGCATTTTAAACAATCCATTGGGGGAAAAGGTCACATTTATTTTGAATCTGAATGTGCACGATTGTGATTTTTCTCTTGATTTTATTAATTGTTTTTGAGGTTAAACTTTTAAAAATATCAGTAATGCTTTTTAGAGTTCCCTTTTCCTAATGACTGGCTATAGTTCTTGGCTCAAGTCACTCATTAACCCTATTAATTCCGTACTGTCTAGGTGGGACTGAGAGTGTAACCAAAGAAATCGCAAGCTACTCGAAGATAAGGGCTTCTGTCCCATAGGGAGTGCTCTATTGGGTAGGAAGTGGTTGAGTGGCAGTGAATGTAGAATACCTGTGTGAGTGGATCATGTGGGAACACAATTATTGTTAATTTCATTGCACACAGCATTTTAGAGGCGAGGTTGCTTCTCTTCCTGCTTTCTGTGAATGTAAGATGATCGAGAATAGCAGGTGTGGTCAGGGCGCTGGCCTGGGACTCTGTAGACCTGGGCTCGGGGTTAGGCTTTGTTGGCTAAATGACGGGCCATCTTCAGCAAGTTACTTAGTAGTGGCTCCTTTTTTTCCCTTAAAAAAAAATACCCTCAGTGTCTAGTGATATCATAAGTTCTAAACATATCTTTTAAATGTCTCATTACCTTTTTGACAGTGACCTTTATTTATTAATTTCTAAAAGCTTGCAGCAGTGTGCAGAGGGCCTTCTAGGCAGAAAGATAGAAAACATGTCGTATTTGAGAAAGTAAGGTAGTTATCGGGTGCAGTTGTATGTGCATAGGGGGTGAAGGTGGAAGTTGTGGGCAGGGGCTGGTTTGGCCTTGATCCTGTGAGGGATGGGGGATGGGGAGAGGGACAGCCTACGAGCTCTTAACGTGTTCTCAGTTGAAGAGCGACACCTAACGTTATGTTCCTTTTAAGAACGTAAATCCAAGGGGCTTGTTCCTGCAGTGGCCTAGGCAGTGGGTGACTAGATCTTCAGCTGAAGTAGTGGCAATGAGGTTGATTAACGGGATAAGCCTACAAAAATATTAAAGTTAGAATCACTAAGACTTCTGACAGAAGGGGCAAGAGTCCAGATGACTCCTGAGCTGGGTCTTAATCACCTAGGACGGAAGTAGTGGTTTATCCCTGGACTTCAAATGGTATGATTTCATAGTAAGTAGAGATAACAGAAGACTGTAATGTGAAACTTTTCCAGTTTTGTCATAACAATGTTTAATTTTATTGCTTAAAAGAAAAAAGAATTCATTCTCTGAATTTGTAGCAACTTAGCCAGTGCTGCAACTTATGAATCAAGATCTGAGAATATCTAGAAATTGTGAAAAATAGGAAAACTGGTACCTCTGATTCCACATCATCATTTAACAATTTTAATGTTTAAATACGTGTGGTTTACTTACTTTGTTCTTAAAAACAACAATTAAAACAGAAAGAGATCAACTCCCCTAAAACGCAATTTCATGAAAACGGAAGGAATGGACTCTGTATTAAATATTTCCAAAGAGCTCCTGAGACCAAAAACAGTGGCCCTTCTTTTCCAGCAGCTGGAACCCAAAAGATCTTGAAACCAGTCCTGAAAAGCTTGCTCCTATGCAAGAAATCCTGGTGGCTTTTGAGAGGAAGATAGAGAACTAACTATTCTGGGAGATTTCAAGTGGTAGTAGAGGTGAGTCACTGACATGAAGAATTGCCAGGGACTACAATTTCTCTTTAATTATGAGGTTTTAAAATATACACACACACACACACACACACACACACACACGCACGTTCAGCTAAGGCAGTTTGAAATGTTAGTCTTTGTGTTCTACAAATTTTAATGAATAGAAAATAGAGCAAGTGGTGCTCCCTCTCCCGCACAAAACCACATACATGGAAATCTTAAGAAGCAAAAACTAATAGTTGAAAGTTTAGTGATGTCATCTTCAGCAACAGTAATGAAGGTAATGATACTGGGAAAACACCTGGCATGTAAATGCCATATTTATATTTTGAATGTATTCTGACTGTGAGATATTCTTGGATGGGATTTGTTAAATGTATTAATTTTATTCGATCATAACGTCTCGGATTGTCAGGAGACCCTGTTCTCTTAGTGGAGGTGGAGGGCCCTAGTGAGAGGAGGTCTCCTTGCTCTGAGTCACATGCTGCTTGGATCCCTGGCCAAGCTCCCTCTGGATGTATTTTATTTAGGAACAGTGTAGGATTAATGAAGCCCCCCTCTAACTCTTTTATTGTGTTGGGGAGTGGGAAACATATGGACACGGTACAAACATCAAAGGGTACAGAAGGTGTAAGATAGGTGGTCTCCCTCCCATTTTTGTCCCTCAGTCATCCAGTTTCCCTCTGTAGGAACAACCCTGTTTTTCAGTTTCTTGTATATTCTTCCTGAAACGTTTTATGCATATATACAAACATACAGGTGATACACATTTTTAGCTATTTTCATATCCTTACACAACAATCTTTTGGCCTGGGAGTAAGAGTCTTCTCTCTCCCACCCCCGTCTATTTCTCAGAAAATGGGTAGAAGTGTTCTAATTTACATAGTTTTTTACCTTTTTTTCTCCAGATTTAGCATAGACCTGTAGCGTATTTCCATGACATGCTGATGTGTAAGATTCTATTGATTATTTTGATGTTTTGCATTTTTGCCATTGGGAATTTAGAAGATCTAATTGCCACATTATAACCTAGTCATTTGCAACAAAGCAATTAGTAATCTCAGTGCTTTGTTTTGTAGCTGTTATTCTTTTTTTCCACTTATTCCATTTTTAAAAATAGCCAGTAAACCCCAAAGGGCAAGTCAGTATACACATAAAAATTTATGAAAACTATGCAGATAGCTTCCTGAAACAGTCCATTAATGTGGGTTTCAGTTTGCTCATAAATGGTTGTTGCCAAGAGAGAGAAAGTACAGGAGACGCTCCAGGGACACTTGGGGTAGGTGCTGAGCAAAGGGGAGGGCGCACAAGGTGAAGGAGAGGGGAGGCCCAGGCGCCTGGCTCCTAAACACAGACCCAGGCCCTGGGCTGGACTGCGCTGGGTGTGCGCGGGCTAGGGCAAATAGGAGCAGCCTGCCCTGGAGTAGTGGCTGGCTTCACGTAGTTATCAGATTCCACATCCCAGGAGTTTGGAAGGTTAAAGAAAAGAAAAAATGTGACGGATTTTATTCTCAGGAGAATGAATCATTGAGTTGGAACTTCAGGTGGCCTGTCACTTACCTTGTCTTTTATTATTTCCTGATATTGACAGTGACAAACTTGGGCACACTTTGTTTCTGTATGTTCCTGTTGCCTTTTATCTTTGCATTCATTTCATGGCCCTTTTTGCAGTAAAACTGTTTTTGTGTGCTGCTTAATTACCATGTTTTTCCACTGGAGATGCCCCATTGACATAAAACAATGCCTTTTTTTTTTTTAAACATACACAGTAGTGTTACATAAAAATAAAATTTCCTATTACATTTGTTTGCGGTATGTTTATTAAATTACACAATCCAATAACTAAATGCCAATTAAAACTTTAAATTGACAACCTCAGTTCTCTGTAAAACGTTAAAAAGTTTAGAACTCTTTTAGAATATAAGATTTATTGTTTTCTTTGTTGTTTTGTTTTTTTTTTTTTTTTGTGGTATGCGGGCCTCTCACTGTTGTGGCCTCTCCCGTTGCGGAGCGCAGGCTCAGCGGCCATGGCTCACGGGCCCAGCCGCTCCGCGGCATGTGGGATCTTCCCGGACCGGGGCACGAACCCGTGTACCCTGCATCGGTAGGCGGACTCTCAACCGCTGCACTACCAGGGAAGCCCAGTTTTATTGTTTTTTAGTGCAAAAACTGGGACTGGGTGATATGTTGTCTACTTATAAAGTTTCAGAAATAGAAATGCTTCATCTACATTAGATTGTGATGACAATGTGTTTAGCCCACAGAGGCTTTTCAGCATTTTGATTCAAACAGTATTTTTAAAAATTGAATCTCAAGTGATGTGTGAGGCTTTGGTCAACTGTTGTTCTGTGTACTGGATTGTGGGGGAGAAACTGAAAGCACTCAGATTATGAGGACAAGTGCTTTTAATAGTGGGCTTTGGGATTCTTAAGTGTGTCCTATTATACCATTTCCAGGTGAAGCCTTCCTTTGCGGTTATAATGGTGATGGTTTTGGATGAAGATCGTTCATCAAAAAGTACAATGTAAAATTCATCTTTCTAGGACGATATAAAGTATAAAAGGAGGACAGATTGAATTTAATGGGCATAGTAAATAACATTAATTTTTAAATATGTCCTGCCTAAATGGCATTTATCATAACTGCAGAGTACACGTTTCACTTATTCTTCAATATATTAATATATCTTTTCTTAAAGTAAAAATGAATGTGACTTTGTATTTCATATATTCTCACAATGGTTTGTCAAGAATATCAATACATTTCTGCTCACTGGATGCTTGCCTTGTTTTTAAAAAATCAGTTTTGAGATGAAGTATAGTTTACTATGTAAATAAATATTTCTTTTAAAATATTTTTAAAACTCTGTAACTAATTCCTTGAATTACCCAGCAGGGAACCTCTTTGTGCTTGTTTCCTCATCTGTAAAATGAAAACTGAGCCGCTAAAGCAAAGAGCCTGGTGTTCATGAGCCTTGCGTGATATGGTCCCCAGTTCCATTGGCTGCAGCCTGAGGTGTCTAGACTGCCAGTGGCCGATGTTGGTTCTGTTGAGTTTAATTCTAGTGGAGACTCCTGGGCCTGTTACTTAACATCTTGCAGCTTCAGTTTCCTTTCCTGTCAAATTAGGGTAATAATACCTAAATCAGGATTTTAAAAACTTTGAAATGGCATATATATAAGCAATTGATGTATTATAATATATATGCAATTTATATATTATATATAATACATCTAATTTATAATACTGTATTATTTATATATATTAATAAGATATTGAGGCCAATGCTTGTTATTGTAGCTGTTAGGCTGTTTCATTATTTTCTTCTTCCAGTTACCAGAATTTGCTCTTAAGTCCAATAGAAAAAATTTTCACGTGTTCTGTAGGGCCCTTGCCTGTAGTGTCTTGACACTCTGAGGACAGGTAGTTTGTACCACACTCCTATCACCTCCCCAGAATGCCAGCTCCTGTTGTTTTTTTCTCTTCACTCTAACCATCTCCAGTGGCTGAACCAGTTTCATCTCCACTAATCCTTTCATTGCAGACTTTCCTTCCACCCTACTCTGTTCTACTTTTTAGAAACTTAGAAATTATTTGAGCTTACTAGTGTCTTACTTCTCCTTACAAAATGATCTCTCTACATCCATGATGTTATTGAATCCTTGTTTCCCCCAGTCCCAGCTAACAGAGACACACACACAGGCGAGCACCTGCGTCAGGTCACTTTTTGGCAGTGGTCTCCTGTAGAAATGGCTCATAATTTCACATTACTTCTCCCTTTCAGATTTTATACCTTTTTTTCCTCCTGTCTAACTGTGATGGATAGCATCCCTAGAACAAAATTAAATAATTTGGTATAATGTACTTGTATGCCTTGTTCTTAATTTTTTATTTTGCCAAAATAAAATATTAATGACCTATATTAAAGAGAATATTTATATAAAATGTATAGAGTCATATGTATTGAATATAAGATAATGTCACTGATTGTAAGAAACAACTACATTTTATGGACTAATTAGAAAAAAATGATCACTTACAAGACACGATCAGTTGTAAGATGCAATTCTACTTCATGAATGTTATAATATGAAGAAAAATGTAACTTTGGATCAATGAGATATGGCAAGTATAGCAGTTACTGTTTTTAGTCTTACTAAATTTTCTGTTAAAATTTTTATGTACTCTCGTTTGTGTGTTAGAAACTTCAAGTTTTCTTATTTTTGTAGTTTCTGTGAGCTGTATCTAAGTTACTTTTTGCTTCATTGCATATATTATGCACACTTTCTCTTGGTCTCGTTCTTTCCAAACGTTTGATGCCTTTATGATGACGTGAGTTGGTCGCCTCTGCTACTGAATTCCCACGTGCCCCCGCCCAAAGATGCGGCATCATTGAATGCTTGCGATGGAAAGCAGTCTTCCTTTTTTCAGGAAGGGTTAGCAGTCCTGAAAGTCTCTCTGCTCTTCTCCCCACTCAGAGGATTGTTCCCTAGCCCTCCTCACACTGACTGACTCCATGCTACTGTGCCTCATGACACGGGGGAGCCCTTGGCCTACTCTCTTCTCTCCAGAGCTAAATAGCAAAACATTTTCTTGTTTTTCAGCTTACTATCCCTTAATGTTTCCCAGCCCTTTATTACTTCACGTTCTCATTATCTCTAGAGGAATGACTTAGAAATCTCGTTTACCCTGAAAGAATTCTTATGTTGAGGTTGGGTGGTGTAGGTATCCAGAAATGGGTTTACATTAGTATCTTGCATAACTTAGAACTCTCAGTTGGGAGAAAAGTCACTGTATTTTTTTTATCTGAAGGAAGATGGTTCTGTGTCCCCTTGAGGGCTACAACCCAAGGATGACATCTAGTGATCTGTTAAGCCTGGATTGTCTTCTTGGGGACGCGGGGTGGGGGGGTGTGTGTTCAGGAAATCAGGGGAAAAAGGAATTATAAAAGCAGATCTTTCAACCAGTTAAAACATTTTAAGGAACTTAAGCTCCCTGAAAATGATGTAAAATAGTGATAGAGTAATGTTTCGTTTGTAAATGTTAGTTCAGTTTCTAATGTAATAGAATATCCTGGAAGTACTCTTTGGTTAGTCCTTACTCATAGGTGATCCAGAAACTTAATTTAATAATCATTTCAACCAGTTTAATTATCTTATGCCTCCTTAGCAATGGTTCTTACTCTTGGGGTTGATAGATTTTAGGGAGAGTCCTGTGAACTCCTGAACTTATATGTAAAATTTGGCCATTAGGCACAGTTTTTTGGTAGCGAGAGGAGGATCCATAGCTTTTGGCAGATTCTTAAAGAGATTAATAACCCCAAAGAATTGAATCCACTTCTGTTGTGTTCTAGGGCGGCCCTATTTCTGCCTCACTGCTCTCCATTGTGGCCTTGGTTGTAAATCATGAAAACCTCAGAGTATTTTGAAGCTCAAAACAAAGAAAATTTGATCTTGAGTTATTGGCCTTAAAAATGGCAGTGTTGTTCAAGTGGTACATTTAAAACAATAGTAATACCACGAACTTCCAGGGAATCCACTTTTAGGAAGTAGTGAGTGTAAATGAAGGTGGTATTGTAGTCACGGGAAGAGACATTCAAAAACTGCAGATCCACGTATGTTGAAGACATGTGAAGGATTAAAACTATGCTTCTGTTTTGAACTTGAGTAATTAATTTCATAGTTGTGATTTAAATTATTTTTCTAAAGAATATTGGAAATGATAAATGTCTGGTGTTTGTATGTATGTGTGTATAGGAATTACTTTTTAATGTTTATATGAGTAATGAAAATATGTGATTTTTTTTTATTATAGTGCATGCAAGATATGGGAAATACTAAAGCAAGACTACTATATGAAGCCAATCTTCCAGAGAACTTTCGAAGACCACAGACAGATCAGTATCCTTTAACATTTCTTTATTGTGGGGTTTAAAAGAATCAGCTCATTTTTCTAGTTCATATTTTAACTTTGTATTGAATATTTAGGAAGAAGTGACCTTTATCATACTGTTGTTCATGAAAAATAGAAATTGATTTGCCCTGAGCTATGCTTTGTATATGGTAAGTTTTTAATAGGAATCTGGTAATACATGATCTATATAGTATTTTTATGTAATTATTATTGAGTATAAAATATTATAACTGATTCCTCTTTTTTCTTGTTTGTTTTTTCTTTTGCGGTATGCGGGCCTCTCACTGTTGTGGCCTCTCCCGCTGCGGAGCACAGGCTCCGGACACGCAGGCTCAGCAGCCATGGCTCACGTGCCCAGCCGCTCCGCGGCATGTGGGATCTTCCAGGACCGGGGCACGAACCCGCGTCCCCTGCATCGGCAGGCGGACTCTCAACCACTGTGCCACCAGGGAAGCCCCAAACTGATTCCTCTTGATTGATCTCCAACTCTTGATTGGAGCATATAGGTTGTTTATTACTTTAGACTATTATTAGAGGTTTGATTTGTGAGCATCTTGAGTATTTTTTGAAAAATCATTTCCAGAGAAGTTTCCTTTGAATATTTATTTATTTATTTGGCTGCATCAGGTCTTGGCTGCATTGGGTCTTCATTGCGGCACTTGGGCTTCTCTCTAGTTTTGGCATGCGAGCTCTGGAGTGCACAGGCTCAGTAGTTGCAGCGCATGGGCTCTCTAGTTGTGGCACATGGGCTTAGTTGCCCCATAGCATGTGGGATCTTAGTTCCCCGACCAGGGATCGAACCCGTGTCCCCTGCATTGGAAGGCGGATTCTCAATCACTGGACCACCAGGGAAGTCCCTGGAGGAATTTCCTTTGATCACCTTTATGTGGTAATTATGTTTATGTGAAGCAGTTGACAGACAAATCCCATACTTGGTGGACGTGGATGGTGGCAGGGATGTGGGGTCATGTCACTGCTGACCTTCCGTGGGTCACAGGCTGCATGGCTCTCTCTGCTTTCACATCTGACCTAATGAATGAGGGGAATATTTTCTCACAGGCGTTTTAGTGAGGATTTTTTTTTCACACGTTAAAGAGAAATCGTTTGATTTTATAGGATTCCTCGAACTCATATTGAAGTTTGAGAAAAAGCTCATCAGAATAAGATTATCTAATTGACTGTAGGTATATGTGATTTTATCCAAAGGTGATTTTTGTGATTTTGGCAATATAATCTAGTTTCTTAAAGATCAGTTGTGTACTGGACTCTCCTGGTGATCCAGTGGTTAAGAATCTGCCTTCCAATGCACGGGACGCGGGTTCGATACCTGGTCGGAGAACCAGCCCACGTGCCGCAACTACCAAGCCCGCGCACCACAACTAGAGAGCCTGTGCGCCACAACTACCAAGCCCGCATGCCACAGCTAGAGAGCCTGTGTGCCACAACTACCGAGCCCACGTGCCACAACTAGAGAGCCTTGCGCCACAACTACCGAGCCCGTGTGCCACAACTAGAGAGCCCGCGCACTGTGCAGCCCTCACGCCACAGCTAGAGAGCCCGCACACCACAACTACTGAGCCCGTGTGCCACAACTTGATAGAAGCCCCCATGCTGCAAGGAAGAGCAGAGCCCACGCACCACAACGAAAGATCCCACATGCCCCGACTAAGACCTGACGCAGTCAAGTAAATAAATATTTTTTTAAAAATTATGTGTAGCTTAAAAAAAAACAAAAAAAGAACAGCTGTGTACTACCCATGTGTATACTAAAACAGTTTGTGTGATCAAACAATGAAAAAAATTGATCTTTTCTCAGAGATACAGGCCATTATATATATATTTTCATATTTGTATAGAAACCTTTTGGGTTATACTCAAGAAGTTAGTATTTGTCCTGTTCTGTTTCTGCTTCCTCCACCTTCTTCCCACACATTTAGCAGTCTGATATCCCAAGCTATTTTTATTATAGCAAGATCCTGGGGTAGGAGTGGGTGGTACATTTCAGGCATAAAAAATTGTGTGAGCAGAAGTATGAAGGTGTGAGGACACTTGACATTTTAAAGTTTTGATATGACAAGATTTAAGTTTTGTGGGCCAGTGGCAGAAGCAGCTCATTTTTCCAGATTGTGAAGGGTTTTCAGTACCATGTAGAGCAGCATATAGGTAGCATATAGAGCAGTACCTCATTTCATTGGCCCAAAGGATTGAAGGATTTGAAAAGCCATGAAGAATTTTGAGGCAGGAGAAACATTAGAAATATTAGCTTCTACCACAAGGAAGATGAGTTGGAGGAGGTCGTGGAGTCACAGAGGGCATGTAGAATACTAGTACAGCCCTGAGGGGAGCAGTGATGAAGAGATGAATTACGTGGGAGACTTGAGAACAGGCAGGAGGGAATTGGGGAGACTGGAAGGGAGCTGGGAAGGCAGGGGCAGTTGGATTAGGTTAAGATTGCCTGGGCTTCCCTGGTGGTGCAGTGGTTGAGAGTCCGCCTGCCGATGCAGGGGATGCAGGTTCGTGCCCCGGTCTGGGAAGATCCCACATGCCACGGAGCGGCTGGGCCCGTGAGCCATGGCCGCTGAGCCTGCGTGTCCGGAGCCTGTGCTCCGCAGCGGGAGAGGCCACAACAGTGAGAGGCCCACGTACCGCAAAAAAAATAAAAAAAAAATAAAAAGATTGCCTTTGTTTCCAGGGAAGACACTGCAGTGACCCCAAGTTTCCTAGCTTGGCTGAGGTTCTGTGAGTGAGGTAAACTTCTTCATCGGGGAAGGAATTCAGTACCAGATGAAAGTGTGAGGGTTACAAATTGAAGACAGTGAGCCATCACTTTGGGCAGAATAAGGTGTCTGTGGGACACATGCATGGAGATGCCCATCTAGAAGCTGGAAACAGGAGTCTGGACCCTAAAAGAAAGCAGGAAATGCAGTGTAGGCAGGAGAGTCACTTAGCATGTAGGTGGTAGAAAAATGCTTGCTAAAGTTGTGTTTACCTAGGGCAGTGATCCTGTATTCTTTTTAAAATAAATATATTTATTTATTTATTTTTGGCCTCGGGTCTTCGTTGCTGCACACGGGCTTTCTCATTGCGGAGAGAGGGGGTACTCTCCGCTTCAGTGCGTGGGCACTCTTCTCATTGCGGGGGCTTCTCGTTGCGGAGCACGGGCTCTAGGCGTGCGGGCTTCAGTAGCTGTGGCACGCGGGCTCAGTAGTTGTGGCTCGCGGGCTCTAGAGCTCAGGCTCAGTAGTTGTGGCGCACGGGCTGAGTTGCTCTGTGGCACGTGGGATCTTCCACGACTCAGGCTCGAACCAGTGTCCCCTGCATTGGCAGGCAAATTCTTAACCACTGCACCACCAGAGAAGTCCCTGGTCCTGTATTCTTTTTTGTGGTTTTATTGAGAATCTTGGGAATGCTGTTTTCCTTCTCCTCTGGAAAGTGAGGGCATAGGGCAGAATCCTGAGGAAGAGAGCATGGTGGAAGGAGATACCACAGAGCAAATAAACTGTGTTCCAGGTGGTTGTTACCACTGCTTGCTAGTTGTATTAGGTTATTCCTTTCTCTGCTTCTCACCCCCAAGCCTGAGTTAACATATAAAATCCCTCAAATTGAAGAATGTCCCTTGTCTGGAAGTTTGTGCGTATGTGTGTGTTTGTGTGTGGGGGGGGTTGGTTTGGTTTGAATTGGGTTTTTTGGACTTCTCTTGAACGTTAAGAGGGTAAATGACTTGAGGTTCTTGAGATTTGGGGTAGTGTCCTTTATGTGGTATCTGGTGGATGAATGTGGCTTCCAAGGTATTTAGTTCATCCCCATGATGCCGTGTTCCTTTGACAAAGTCCTGAAGGTATTCAGGGGAGGACAGGACCTCGGTGTCCCCTTACACTGCCCTCTTCTGTGTACCATTTGGTACACAGTCGTAGGAATTCTGTTTCTTAAGTAATTACTGTCCGTTTTATGGTGAACCTAATAGAAGTAAAGGATTAGTGAGATGGTGAGTTCTTTTTTCTGGTGTTTTTTGCCATGTCCTTAAATGTTTGGTCCTTATCTAAACATTTCAGGAGAGATGAGATTTTTGTAGTGAATTGATTGGTGTCTGGTATCAGTAAGTCCTTGACCTTTGACACAGTGAGGGTGTGGCATCGGAAACAACTGCAGTAGCTTTCCTGCTCAGCGAGGGTTCACTGTGTGCCAAGCCCTGAGTTTGGCACTTTATGTACATTAGCTTTCTAAATTTTCAGAGCAGCTCAGATAGAGCATAATATTTTTATTCTTGGCAGGCAAGAGGGTAGGGTTCTCAAAGAGCTGTTAAGAAACTTCCCAAAGCCTCCAGACTTTCCCTCGTGTGTAAGGACACTTGGATATTATTATACTTAATGATGATAGTCTGAGTAAAATCAGTGTTGTCACATTTGAGTCCTGGTGGGTGGCTTTTTAAAATAGATAGGCTTATAGTTTGGAACTCTTTGCCGCTAAGACCATAAGGTCTAGGTGAGAATGTCAGTTTTTGAGTACCTGGTATGATTCAGGTCAGGCTCTTAGATAATGTGTGTCTTTGCTACTGTTAGTTCAAGCATGTGTGTTTGATTTTTCAAACTAAATGTTACTTGTAAAGCGTTTGCAAATTATGGTCATGTTCATATGAGGTGTTGACCTCTTGCTGTTTACAGAAAGATAATCTAAGTTTGTCAGAAACTAAAGAGGGATTTTGTCTAAAGACATTTGAGATAGATGACTACTAATGATAAGAGTATAAGATGACATCTCTTGGACCATGAGACCAGCTTCTATATCTAGTGTAATACTATAGTCTTCAAAAATGTTTTTTACCAAAAAAAAAAAAATGGTTCTGAAGAACCTAGGGGCAGGACAGGAATAAAGACGCAGACGTGGAGAATGGACTTGAGGACACGGGGAGGGGGAATGGTAAGCTGGGACGAAGTGAGAGAGTGGCATGCACTTATATATACTACCAAATGTAAAACAGATAGCTAAT